CTTTGCTTTGAGCATGCTTTTAAAAGATTGCAACTGGAAAAGCACAAGAAGACCCGGTGGGGAGATTTTATCTGGAAAGGGACCAACATTTCCTTTTCAATGTTTCCTTTGAGATGAGTCTTGCCCGTTGGCTCCGCCCATTCTCGCACGCTTCCAGATCAGCGATTGGCTCCGGCGCTGGTGGGCATGAGTCTGCAGTGACAGCTCCGAGCGTGAGGACGTGCGGCTACAGCACGCTGTCTCTGGGGGAGGGACTAGCTGGCTGTTGGTCAATAAGAGGGGCTTGGCTACTCCCCCCCCCTCACTAGGACCACCCACTCCAGTGACAGTTGATATACATACAGCAACGGGAAGTGATTAGGATTGGTCCAGCAAATCGCAGTTCCTGCCCACTCCAGCCCCTCCTCTTAAAGCGACAGCGCCAGGAAAACCATCTAGTACAGGGGAAGGCAACCTCTGCCCACCCCTGATCTAGTACATGCAGCAGCTGAGCTTCATTTGCTTGGTTAGCTGTTCATTTTTAGGGAAGGTCTTTGAAGAGCCTCGTTCTCGTAGTGCCCGCTAGTTTATTCTTGGGGGGGGGTTCCTATATGTTATTAAGGCTTCCCAAATTCACAGAGGGGCAAACAACCTGCATATGCAAAGCCAACTAATTCCTAGGCTACCAACCTTTGACAATTGCAGCCCGATCCAGTGCGAGGAAGACAAATGCTGCATGCACTATTTTATCTGTCTGTAAACGCATCAAAAACACATGCAAACGCACTGGAACGCACCTGAAAGCCATTTTATCCTAGAATATTTTTTTAAACCCCATCGTAATGCTTCAAAATGAATGATTAAAAGAAAAGTACAAACTTTATCTAAACCTGATATAAAAAGAACAAGTAAACTGAGCTAATATAGATATCAGATGTCATGTGATCTGATCAGGGCTACAGATGTTAGTCTCTGGCATGCTGAGCCTGAGGGTTGTAGTCCCTCTGGCTTGCAGCACATAACCGCTGTCAGATCCAGTCCCTCCTCTCTTCCCTCCCAGTATACTCCAGTCACTCGCCAATACCCCAGTCCCTCCTCTCTTCCCTCCCAGTATACCCCAGTCCCTCCTCTCCTCCTTCCCAGTCCAGTGAGCGGCCTGCACTGTGCTGTCCTCGGGCTGCAGAATTCTCTGTCTGTCCTCCGGATCTGCGGACGATCATGGCAATGAAGATCCAAAGTGTGAAGACCAAGCCGTACCAGGACCAGAAGCCGGGCACCAGCGGGCTCAGGAAACGGGTCACCGTCTTCCAGCAGAACCCCAACTACGCCGAGAACTTCATCCAGAGCATCATCTCATGCACGGAGCCCGGGGACAGACTGGACGGGGTGCTGGTGGTCGGCGGCGACGGCCGATTCTGGGTGCTGTCTTGATGAGGGGAAAGGGGTGCAATAACCCAGTGGATGTTGGGGGTGCAATATCTTGAAGAGTAAATTAGGGTGCTATGTCTTGATCAGAGGTTCGAGAGGGTGCAGTAATGAAGGGGGTGTAGGGGCGCAATATAGTGAGGAGGGAATTGGGCTGCCATGTCTTCATGAAGAGATAGGGGTGCAATAACCCCAAGGATGTGGGGTGCTGTGCCTTGATGAGAGAATAAAGATGCAATAACCAAAGAGTGATGTGGGGTGCAGTATTTTGAGCAGGGGATTGGTTTGCTCTGTATTGATTAG